TGCTCGCGCCCTCTGCTACGTTGCTCGTGCGCTCTGCTGCTTAGCCCGCGCGCTCAGTTGCGTTGCTCGCGCAATCTGCTGCATTGTTCGAGTGCTCTGCTACGTCGCTCGCGCCCTCTACTGAGTTGCTCGCACGCTCAGCTGCGTTGCTCGCGCCCTCTGCTGCGTTGTTTGCGCCCTCTGCTGCGTTGCTCGCGTCTCTGCTGTGTTGCTCGCGCACTCAGCTGCGTTGCTCGCGCCCTCTGCTGCGTTGTTCGCGCGCTCAGCTGCGTTGCACACGCCCTCTGCTGCGTTGCTCGCGCCCTCTGCTGCGTTGCTCGCGCCCTCTGCTGCGTTGCTCGCGCCCTCTGCTGCATTGCTCGCACTATCTGCTGCGTTGCTCGCGCCCTCTGCTGCGTTGCTCGCGCCCTCTGCTGCGTTGCTCGCGCCCTTTGCTGCGATGCTCGCGCCCTCAGCTGCATTGCTGGCGCCCTCAGCTGCATTGCTAGCACGCTCAGCTGCGTTGCTCGCGCCCTCTGCTACGTTGCTCGTGCCCTTTGGTGCGTTGCTTGTGCCCTCTACTGCGTTGCTCGCGCACTCAGCTGCGTTGCTCGCGCACTCAGCTGCATTGCTCGTGCGCTCTGCTGCATTGCTTGCGCACTAAGATGCATTGCTCGCGCCCACTACTGCGTTGTAAGAGTGCTTAGCTCCGTTGCTCGCGCCCTCTGCTGCGTTGCTCGCGCCTCTGCTGCGTTGCTCGCGCCTCTGTTGCGTTGTTCACGCCCTTTACTCCATTGCTCGCGCGCTCAGTAGTGTTGCTCGCGCCCTCAACTGCGTTACTCGTGCCCTCTGCTGCGTTGCTCGCGCGCTCTGCTGCGTTGCTCACGCCCTCTGCTGCGTTGCTCGCGCCCTCTTCTGCGTTGCTCGAGCACTCAGCTACGTTTGCACGCTCAGCTGCGTTGCTCGCGCGCTGTGCTGTGTTGTTCGCACGCTCTGCTGCGTTGCTCGCGTCTCTGCTGCGTTGCTCGCACCCTCTGCTGTGTTGCTCGCGCGCTCGGCTGCGTTGCTCGCACCCTCTGCTGCGTTGATCGCGCCCTCTGGGGCGTTGCTCACGCCCTCTCTTACGTTGCTCGCGCGCTCTGCTGCTTAGCCCGCGCGCTCAGCTGCGTTGCTCGCGCACTCTGCTGCATTGTTCGAGTGCTCTGCTGCGTTGCTCGCGCCTTTGCTACGTTGCTCGCGCCTCTGCGACGTTGCTCGCGCGCTCTGCTGCATTGCTTGCACACTCAGCTGCGTTGCTCGTACCCTCTGCTGCGTTGCAAGCGTGCTTAGCTCCGTTGCTCGCGCCCTCTGCTGCGTTAATCGCTCCTCTGCTGCGTTGCTCACGCTACTGCATTGCTCACGCTACTGCGTTGCTCACGCACTCAGCTGCGTTGCTCGCGCCCTCAGCTGCATTGCTCTTGCCCTCTGCTGCGTTGCTCACAACCTCTGCTGCGTTGCGCGCGCCCTCTGCTGTGTTGCTCGTGCGCTCTGTAGTGTTGCTCGCGCCCTCTGCTGCGTTGCTCGCGTTCTCAGCTACGTTGCTCGCGCGCTCAGCTGCGTTGCTCGCGCGCTCTGCTGCGTTGTTCGCGCGCTCTGCTGCGTTGCTCGCGTGCGCATCTGTGTTGCTCGCGCCCTCTGCTGCGTTGCTTGCACTCTCTGCTGTATTGCTCGCGCCCTCAGATGCGTTGCTCGCACCCTCTGCTGCGTTGATCGCGCCCTCTGGGGCGTTGCTCGCGCCCTCTCTTACGTTGCTCGTGCGCTCGGCTGCGTTGCTCGCGCCCTCTATTGCATTTCTCAAGCCCTCTGGTGCGTTGCTCGCGCCCTCTGCTGCGTTTCTCACACCCTCTGCTGCGATGCTCGCGCCCTCTGCTGCGTTGCTCGCGCCCTTTGCTGCGTTGCTCGCACCCTCTACTGCAATGCTCGCGCCCTCTGCTGCGTTGCACACGCCCTCAGCTGCATTGCTCGCACCCTCAGCTGCGTTGCTCGCGCCCTCTGCTGCGTTGCTCGCGCCCTCTGGTGCATCGCTCGCGCCCTCTACTGCATTGCTCGCGCGCTCAGCTGCGTTTCTCGCGCACTCTGCTGCATTGTTCACGTGCTCTGCTGTGTTGCTCGCCCCTGTGCTGCGTTGTCCACGCCCCTGCGGTGTTGCTCGCGCGCTCTGCTGCATTGCTTGCGCACTAAGTTGCATTGCTCGCGCCCTCTACTGCGTTGCAAGCGTGCTTAGCTTCGTTGCTCGCGCCCTCTGCTGCGTAGCTCGCACGCTCTGCTGAGTTGCTCACGCCCTCTGTGTTAGATGCTAAGGACGGAGTCTATGAAGATTAGGAACCGAAATATCTCAAAATCGTTGGTCTCAATTTCTGGACAGAATAGTCGCGCTCACAAGAAACGCCGTCGACGAAACGTTCATGGTCAAAACTTCACCAAACTCAATATATGTTGTAGCCCGAGTCCGTGGCTACAATTCCCAATGCTCGCGCCCTCTGCTGCGTTGCTCGCGCCCTCTGGTGTGTTGCTCGCGCCCTCTACTGCATTGCTCGCGCGCTCAGCTGCGTTGCTCGCGCACTGTGCTGCATTGTTCGCGTGCTCTGCTGCGTTGCTTGCCCCTCTGCTGCGTTGCTCACGCCCCTGCGGTGTTGCTCGCGCGCTCTGCTGCATTGCTTGCGCACTAAGTTGCATTGCTTGCGCACTAGTTCAATGCTTTTCCCTACGCCTATGGGGATTCATGGACTTCGTTACCATTTGTCGGCAGACACAGCCGTCATCGCAGGCGCCGAACTTTTTGGTGCGCACGAATCAAGCTGGAATTGTTCTGGTAGGTGTATTTGAGCATGGGCCACCCGAAAATGCAACAACATTCAGGTAGTTCGATGCTTTTCCCTACGCCTATGAGGATTCATGCACTTCGTTACCATTTGTCGGCAGACACAGCCGTCATCGCATGCGCCGAACTTTTTGGTGCGCACGAACCAAGCTGGAATTGCTCTAGTATAAGTATTTGAGCATGGGCCACCCGAATATGCAACAACATTCAGGTAGTTCGATGCTTTTCCCTACGCCGAGGGGGATTCATGCACTTCGTTACCATTTGTCGGCAGACACAGCCGTCATCGCAGGCGCCGAACTTTCTGGTGCGCACGAACCAAGCTGGAATTGTTCTGGTAGGTGTATTTGAGCATGGGCCACCCGAAAATGCAACAACAATCAGGTAGTTCGATGCTTTTCCCTAAGCCTATGAGGATTCATGCACTTCGTTACCATTTGTCGGCAGACACAGCCGTCATCGCAGGCGCCGAACTTTTTGGTGCGCACGAACCAAGCTGGAATTGCTCTAGTATAAGTACTTGAGCATGGGCCACCCGAATATGCAATAACATTCAGGTAGTTCAATGCTATTCCCTACGCCTATGGGGATTCATGCACTTCGTTACCATTTGTCGGCAGACACAGCCGTCATCACAGGCGCCGAACTTTTTGGTGCGCACAAACAAAGCTGAACTTGCTCTGGTAGGTATATTTGAGCATGGGCCACCCGAATATGCAACAACATTCAGGTAGTTCGATGCTTTTCCCTACGCCGAGGGGGATTCATGCACTTCGTTACCATTTGTCGGCAGACACAGCCGTCATCGCAGGCGCCGAACTTTCTGGTGCGCACGAACCAAGCTGGAATTGTTCTGGTAGGTGTATTTGAGCATGGGCCACCCGAAAATGCAACAACAATCAGGTAGTTCGATGCTTTTCCCTAAGCCTATGAGGATTCATACACTTCGTTACCATTTGTCGGCAGACACAGCCGTCATCGCAGGCGCCGAACTATTTGGTGCGCACGAACCAAGCTGGAATTGCTCTAGTATAAGTACTTGAGCATGGGCCACCCGAATATGCAACAACATTCAGGTAGTTCAATGCTATTCCCTACGCCTATGGGGATTCATGCACTTCGTTACCATTTGTCGGCAGACACAGCCGTCATCGCAGGCGCCGAACTTTTTGGTGCGCACAAAAAAAGCTGAACTTGCTCTGGTAGGTATATTTGAGCATGAACCACCCGAATATGCAACAACATTCAGGTCGTTCGATGCTTTTCCCTACGCCTATAAGGATACATGTGCTTTGATACCATTTGTCGGCAGACACAGCCGTCATCGCATGCGCCGAACTTTTTGTTGCGCACGAACCAAACTGGAATTGTTCTGGTAGGTGTATTTGAGCATGGGCCACCTGAATATGCAACAACATTCAGGTCGTTCGATGCTTTTCCCTACGCCTATGAGGATTCATGCACTTCGTTACCATTTGTCGGCAGACACAGCATTCATCGCATGCGCCGAACTTTTTGGTGCGCACGAACCAAGCTGGAATTGCTTTGGTAGGTGTATTTGAGCATGGGCCACCCGAATATGCAACAACATTCAAGTCGTTCGATGGATTTTCCCTAAGCTTATGGGGATTCATGCACATCGTAACAATTTGTCGGCAGACATAGCCGTCATCGCATGCGCCAAACGTTTTGGTGCGCACGAACAAAGCTGAACTTGCTCTGGTAGGTGTATTTGAGCAAGGGCCACACGAATATGCAACAACATTCAGGTCGTTCGATGCTTTTCCCTACGCCTATGAGGATTCATGCACTTCGTTACCATTTGTCGGCAGACACAGCCGTCATCGCAGGCGCCGAACTTTTTGGTGCGCACGAACCAAGCTGAACTTGCTCTGGTAGGTGTATTTGAGCATGGGCCACCCGAATATGCAACAACATTTAGGTAGTTCGAAGCTTTTCCCTACGCCTATAAGGATTCATGCACTTCGTTACCATTTGTCGGCAGACACAGCATTCATCGCATGCGCCGAACTTTTTGGTGCGCACGAACCAAGCTGGAATTGCTCTAGTATATGAATTTGAGCATGGACCACCCGAATAGGCAACAACATTCAGGTCGTTCGATGCCTTTCCCTACGCCTATGAGGATTCATGCACTTCGTTACCATTTGTCGGCAGAGACAACATTCAACGCATGCGCCGAAAGAGGGAGAATGGGGCGGGGTGATGGAAAGCGGGAGAATGGGGCGGGGTGATGGAAAGCGGGAGAATGGGGCGGGTGATGGAAAGCAGGATAATGGGGCGGGGTGATGGAAAGAGGGAGCATGGGGCGGGGTGATGGAAAGCGGCAGAATGGGGCGGGATGATGGAAAGCGGGAGAATGGGGCGGGTGATGGAAAGCAGGAGAATGGGGCAGGGTGATGGAAAGAGGGAGAATGGGGCGGGGTGATGGAAAGCGGGAGAATGGGGCGGGGTGATGGAAAGCGGGAGAATGGGGCGGGGTGATGGAAAGCGGGAGAATTGGGCGGGGTGATGGAAAGCAGGAGAATGGGGCGGGGTGCTGGAAAGCGGGAGAATGGGGCGGGGTGATGGAGAGCGGGAGAATGGGGGCGGGGTACTGGAAAGCGGGAGAATGGGGCGGGGTGATGGAAAGCGGGAGAATGGGGCGGGGTGATGGAAAACGGAAGAATGGGGCGGGGTGATGGAAAGCGGGAGAATGGGGCGGGGTTATGGAAAGAGGGAGAATGGGGCGGGGTGATGGAAAGAGGGAGAATGGGGCGGGGTGATGGAAAGAGGGAGAATGGGGCGGGGTGGTCGAAAGCGGGAGAATGGGGCGGGGTGATGGAAAGAGGGAGAATGGGGCGGGGTGATGGAAAGAGGGAGAATGGGGCGGGGTGATGGAAAGAGGGAGAATGGGTCGAGGTGATGGAAAGCGGGAGAATGGGGCGGGGTGATGGAAAGCGGGAGAATGGGGCGGGTGATGGAAAGTGGGAGAATGGGGCGGGGTGATGGAAAGAGGGAGAATGGGGCGGGGTGATGGAAAGTGGGAGAATGGGGCGGGGTGATGGAAAGCGGGAGAATGGGGCAGGGTGCTGGAAAGCGGGAGAATGGGGTGGGGTGATGGAAAGCGGGAGAATGGGGCGGGGTGCTGGAAAGCGGGAGAATGGGGCGGGGTGATGGAAAGCGGGAGAATGGGGCGGGGTGCTGGAAAGCGGGAGAATGGGGCAGAGGCGCGAGCAACGCAGCAGAGGCGCGAGCAACACAGTAGAGGGCGCGAGCAATGCATCTTAGCGAGCAAGCAATGCAGCAGAGCACGCTAGCAACACCGCAGGGGCGCGAGCAACGCAGCTGAGCACGCGAGCAACGCAGTAGAGGGCGCGAGCAATGCACCTGAGGGCGCGAGCAACGCAGCAGAGGGCGCGAGCAACGCAGCTGAGCGTGCGAGCAATGCAGCTGAGGGCGCGAGCAATGCAGCAGAGGGCGCGAGCATTGCAACAGAGGGCGCGAGCAACGCAGCAGAGTGCGCGAGCAACGCAGCAGAGGGCGCGAGCAACGCAGCAGAGGGCACGAGCAATGCAGCAGAGGGCGCGAGCAACGAAGCAAAGGGAGTGAGCAACGCAGCTGAGCGCGCGAGCAATGCAGCAGAGGGCGCGAGCAATGCAGCTGAGCGCGCGAGCAACGCAGCAGAGGGCGCGAGCAACACAGCTGAGCGCACGAGCAACGCAGCAGAGGGCGCGAGCAACGCACCAGAGGGCACGAGCAACGCAGCAGAGGGCACGAGCAACGCACCAGAGGGCACGAGAAACGCAGCCGAGCGCGCGAGCAGCGCAGCAGAGCGCGCGAGCAATGCAGCAAAGGGCGCGAGCAACGTAGCTGAGCGTGCGAGCAACGCAGCTGAGCGCGCGAGAAATGCAGCAGAGGGCGCGAGCATCGCAGCTGAGCATGCGAGCAATGAAGCAGAGGGCGTGAGCAACGCACCAGAGGGCTCGAGCAACGCACCAGAGGGCTCGAGCAACGCAACAGAGGGCGCGAGCAACGCAGCCGAGCGCGCGAGCAACGCAGCAGAGCGCACGAACAACGCAGCAAAGCGCGCGAGCAACGCAGCAGAGGGCGCGAGTAACGCAGCAGAGGGCGCGAGCAACGTAGCAGAGGGCTCAAGCAATGCAGCTGAGCACGCAAGCAACGCAGCAGAGACGCGAGCAGCGCAGCAGACCTCGCGAACTACGCAGCAGAGCGCGCGAGCATCGCATCAAAGGGCGCGAGCAACACAGTAGAGGGCGCGAGCAACGCAGCAGAGGGCACGAGCAACACAGCTGAGCGCACGATCAACACAGCAGAGGGCGCGAGCAACGCACCAGAGGGCACGAGCAACGCAGCTGAGGGCGCGAGCAACGCAGCAGAGGGAGCGAGCATCGCAGCTGAGCGCGCGAGCAACGCAGCAGAGGGCGCGAGCAATGCACCGGAGGGCTAGAGCAAAGCAACAAAGGGCGCGAGTAACGCAGTTGAGTGCGCGAGCAACTCAGCAGAGCGCATGAGCAACGCAGCAAAGCGCGCGAGCAACGCAGCAGAGGGCGCGAGTAACGCAACAGAGGGCGCGAGCAACGTAGCAGAGGGCGCAAGCAACGCAGCTGAGCACGCGAGCAACGCAGCAGAGACGCGAGCAGCTCAGCAGAGCGTGCGAACTACGCGGCAGAGCGCGCGAGCAACGCAGCAAAGGGCGCGAGCAACGCAGCAGAGGACGCGAGCAACACAGCAGAGGGCACGAGCAACGCAGCCGAGCGCGCGACCAACGCAGCAGAGGGCGCGAGTAACGCAGCAGAGCGTGCGAACAACGCAGCAGAGCGCGCGAGCAACGCAGCTGAGCGTTTGAGCGGAGCTGAGCTCGCGAGCAACGCAGAAGAGGGCACGAGCAATGCAGCAGACGGCGTGAGAAACGCAGCAGAGCGGGTGAGCAACGCAGCAGAGCGCGTGAGCAACGCAGCAGAGGGCGCGAGCAATGGAGCTGAGTACGCTTGCAACACAATAGAGGGCGCGAGAAAACACATCTTAGTGCGCAAGCAATGCTGCAGAGCGCGCGAGCAACACCGCAGGGGCGCGAGCAACGCAGCAGAGGCGTGAGCAACGCTGCAGCGCACGCGATCAATGCAGCAGAGTGCGCGAGAAACGCAGCTGAGCACGTGAGCAACGCAGTAGAGGGCGCGAGCAACGCACCAGAGGGCGTGAGCAACGCAGCAAAGGGCGCGAGCAACGCAGCTGAGCGTGCGAGCAATGCAGCTGAGGGCGCGAGCAACGCAGCAGAGGGCGCGAGCATCGCAACTGAGGGCGAGAGCAACGCAGCAGAGGGCCCGAGCAACGCAGCAGAGGGCCCGAGCAACGCAGCAGAGGGCGCGAGCAACGCAGCAGAGGGTGCAAGCAACGCAGCTGAGTGCACGAGCAACACAGCAGAGACGCGAGCAACGAAGCAGAGCGCGCGAGCAACGCAGCTGAGCGCGCGAGCACGTAGCTCAGCGCGCGAGCAACGCAACAGAGGGCGCGACCAACGCAGTAGAGGGCGCGAGCAACGCAGCTGAGCGCGCGAGCAACGCAGCAGAGGGAGCGAGCAACGCACCAGAGGGCACGAGCAATGCAGCAGAGGGCGCGAGCAACGCCGCCGAGCGGGCGAGCAACGCAACTCTGCTGTGTTGCTCGCGTGCTCAGCTGTGTTGCTCGCGCCCTCTGCTGCGTTGCTTGCGCCCTCTGCTGCGTTGCTCGCGCCCTGTGGTGCGTTGCTCGCACCCCTTGGTGCATTGCTCGCGCGCTTTGCTGCATTGCTCGCGCGCTTTGCTGCGTTGCTCGCGCGCTCGGCTGCGTTGCTCGCGCCCTCTGTTGCGTTGCTCCCGCCCTCTGTTGCGTTGCTCGAGCCCTCTCGTGCGTTGCTCGCGCACTCTGCTGCGTTGCTCGCGCGTTCAGCTGCGTTGCTCGCGCCCTCTGCTGCGTTGCTCGTGCCCTCTGCTGTGTTGCTCGCGCGCTCAGCTACGTTGCTCGCGCGCTCAGCTGTGTTGCTGGCGCGCTCTGCTGCGTTGCTCGCGTCTCTGCTGTGTTGCTCGCACACTCAGCTGCGTTGCTCGCGCCCTCTGCTGCGTTGCTCGCGCGCTCAGTTGCGTTGCTCGCGCCCTCTGATGCGTTGCTCGCGCCCTCTGCTGCGTTGCTCGCGCCCTCTGTTGCGTTTCTCGCGCCCTCTGATGCGTTGCTCGCACCCTCTGCTGCGATGCTCGCCCCCTCTGCTGCGTTGCACGCGCCCTCAGCTGCATTGCTCGCACGCTCAGCTGCGTTGCTCGCGCCCTCTGCTGCGTTGGTCGCGCCCTCTGGTGCGTTGCTCGCGCCCTCTACTGCGTTGCTCGCGCGCTCAGCTGCGTTGCTCGCGCACTTTGCTGCATTGTTCGAATGCTCTGCTGTGTTGCTCGCGCGCTCTGCTACATTCCTTGTGCACCGTTGCTCGCGCCCTCTGCTGCGTTGCTTGCGTGCTCTGCTGCGTTGCTTGCGTGCTCTGCTGCGTTGCTCGCGCGCTCTGCTGCGTTGCTCACGCCCTCTGCTGCGTTGCTCGCGCCCGCTGCTGCGTTGCTCGCGAGCTCTGCAGCGTTGTTTGCGTGCTCTACTGCGTTGCTCGCGTTTCTGCTGCGTTGATCACGTCCTCTGCTGCGTTGCTCGCGCGCTCGACTGCGTTTCTCGCGCCCTCTGCTGCTTTGCTCACGCCCTCTCCTGCGTTGCTCGCGCCCTCTGCTGCGTTGCTCGCGAGCTCAGCTACGCTCGCACGCTCAGCTGCGTTGCTCGCGCCCTCTTCTGCGTTGCTCGCGCGCACAGCTGCGTTGCTCGTGCACTCTGCTGCGTTGTTCGCGTGCTCTGCTGCGTTGCTCGCGCCTCTGCAGCATTATTCGCGTGCGCTGCAGCGTTGCTCGCACCTCTACTGCGTTGCTCGCGCCCCTGCGGTGTTGCTCGCGCTTTGCTGCATTGCTTGCGCGCTAAGATGCATTGCTTGCGCCCTCTACTGCGTTGCAAGCGTGCTTAGATCCGTTGCTCACGCCCTATGCTGCGTTGCTCGCGCCTCTGCTGCGTTGCTGGCGCCTCTGTTGCGTTGCTCACGCCCTCTACTGCGTTGCTCGCACGCTCAGCCGCGTTGCTCGCGCCCTCTGCTGCGTTGCTCGTGCGCTAAGCTGCGTTGTTCGCGCACTCTGCTGTGTTGCTCACGCCCTCTGCTGCGTTGATCGCACGCTCAGCTGGGTTGCTCGCGCCCTTTGCTGCGTTGCTCGCGCCCTCTGGTGCGTTGCTCGCGCCCTCTACTGCGTTGCTCGCGTGCTCAGCTGCGTTGCTCGCGCACTCTGCTGCATTGTTCGCGTGCGCTGCAGCGTTGCTCAGGCCTCTGCTGCGTTGCTCGCGCCCCTGCGGTGTTGCTCGCGCGCTCTGAAGCATTGCTTGCGCACTAAGATGTGTTGCTCGCGCCCTCTATTGTGTTGCAAGCGTGCTCATCTCCGTTGCTCGCGCCCTCTGCTGCGTTGCTCGCGCGCTCTGCTGCGTTGCTCGCCCGCTCTGCTGCGATGCTCACGCCGTCTGCTGCGTTGCTCGCGCCCTCTGCTGCGTTGCTCGCGAGCTCAGCTCCGCTCGCACGCTCAGCTGCGTTGCGCGCACGCTCTGCTGTGTTTTTTGCGCACTCTGCTGCGTTTCTCGCGTCTCTGCTGCGTTGCTCGCGCCCTCTGGTGTGTTGCTCGCGCGCTCGGCTGCGTTGCTCGCACCCTCTGCTGCGTTGATCGCGCCCTCTGATGCGTTGCTCGCGCCCTCTGCTACGTTGCTCGCGCGCTCTGCTGCTTAGCCCGCGCGCTCAGCTGCGTTGCTCGCGCACTCTGCTGCATTGTTCGTAAACTCTGCTGCGTTGCTCGCGCCTTTGCTGCGGTGCTCACACCTCTGCGGTGTTGCTCGCACGCTCAGCTGCATTGCTTGCGCACTCAGCTGCGTTGCTTGCACCCTCTGCTGCGTTGCATGCGTGCTTAGCTTTGTTGCTCACGCCCTCTGCTGCGTTGCTCGCACCCTCTACTGAGTTGCTCGCACCCCCTGCAGCATTGCTCGCGCCCTTTGCTGCGTTGCTCGCACCCTCTGCTGCGATGCTCGCGCCCTCTG